TTGGATTTTGCTTAAATTCTCATTTTCTGTTTTCAGAGGAACTGATGAAAGTTTCCTCCTTGAGTGAGAAAGAGGAATCTAAAAAGGAAGGGTCTGGACACATTGCGGTGAAGACTTTTGCATTTCGTGAGTTGGCAAATGCCACTAAAAATTTTAGGGGTGAATGTCTTCTTGGGGAAGGAGGATTTGGTAGAGTGTATAAAGGCCGTCTTGAAAGCACTGATAAGGTTAGCAACTTTGTTGATTAGAACTGTGTAGAAATAACATTAGAAAGCTGATGATGTCTATTTCTTCCAAAATGATGTTTTTTTCTTGATTGTGTTGGTCATTACATGAGTGACTTACTTGAAGCACCTGACACTTCATTCTCTGTTTGTTCTAGGTTGTAGCAATTAAGCAACTTGATCGTAATGGGTTGCAAGGGAACAGGGAATTTCTTGTTGAAGTGTTAATGTTAAGTCTACTTCACCACCCTAACCTTGTTAACCTAATTGGGTATTGTGCTGATGGAGATCAAAGGCTTTTGGTTTATGAATATATGCCCTTGGGGTCTTTGGAAGATCATTTACATGGTATACAACTATACATAGTGTTAGCTTCTTGCCTGTTACTCGTTAATATTGGTCTGTTTTTCTTCTTGCTCTTATTGATAGGTTGAATGTGATTATTGTTTGTAGAAATTTCACTGGGTAAGAAACCGCTTGACTGGAATACAAGAATGAAAATAGCTGCGGGGGCAGCAAAAGGATTAGAGTATTTGCATGATAAAGCCAATCCCCCTGTTATATATCGAGATTTAAAATGCTCCAACATATTGCTTGGTGAAGGGTATTATCCTAAGTTATCTGATTTTGGGTTAGCCAAACTTGGTCCTGTTGGGGATAATACCCATGTATCTACAAGGGTCATGGGAACGTATGGTTACTGTGCTCCAGAATATGCAATGACGGGTCAACTAACTCTAAAATCGGATGTTTATAGCTTTGGGGTGGTTCTTCTGGAAATCATTACTGGCAGGAGAGCCATTGACACCTCAAAGGCTGCCGGAGAGCAGTATCTAGTAGCATGGGTAAGAAACAGAAAACAAGGCATTGTGTCCAAGGATGAATTAATTGTATAGCAAGATAGGATGCAAACCTTACTTTTATCTCTACTTTGATTGCAGGCAAGACCATTATTTAAAGACAGAAGAAAATTCTCACAGATGGCTGATCCCATACTCCAAGGTCAGTATCCTCCAAGGGGGTTGTACCAAGCTCTTACAGTGGCAGAAATGTGTCTGCAGGATCAGCCAAATTTGCGACCAGTCATTGCCGATGTGGTAACAGCTCTGAGTTACCTTTCTTCACAAAAATATGAACCCGATACGCAGTAAGTCCAAAGCTCCCACCTGGCTCCTGGGCAGAAGTGACAGTGGATCTGAAACAAATTAAAGCAGAACGTTAATTTGATCCTGTTTATTGCTACCCTTGCAACCAGGAATATCCGCTGTTACTGATTGGGGAGTGAGTTTTGTAGCGTAAATGTAAAGAAATTTCAGTGATTCAGCATTATGTTCATGGATGCTTTCAATTTTTGCTGGAATAACAGCAGCAATTGTATGATTATATGCTTATTGTTTGAAACTATATAACCTGCTTTCCCCAGTGTATATTAGATTTTATTTGTCATCACATATTCAAATAATTTGATGCCTTCTCCTACCATGATGCCTTCAAGAGGCACTTGTCTCTACTTGTACAGTTATGCCTTGTCTGAGTGGTTGAATTAAATGGTTTAACTGCCATGGTATTAGATTTAGTTCATGGGTTTCAAATGTACATAGATACTGAAATGCAAAAAATCTGCAATTGCAGTTGATTGTATCCATGCTGTCACAAGGCTACTTTGGTTTTAGCTGATACTTTAAACAAATGGATTGCTCCCTTACCCCTATCGACCGCTATATTCACCATTACTAAGAACAAGAGGGGAGTTAAAAACTGTGAATTTACAGATTCATGGCGTATTGGGTGCGCAGGAGTACAGTTTCGAGGAGTGTCATGAAAAGGTTACCATTGATTCTATGGTTCCTTCTCTTGGTTTCTAGTTTCTTTCCTTGGAGTGTTTGGATTGTCGCTTGACTCCTCAAGGACAGTTTTACCCTGCAATAGGAAATTAAATTCAAGTCTGAAACAAAAGCAGGTGAAAGGGTACGCAGGAAGTGCATCAGAGAAACCAAGAACCATCAAGCTGCTTTGACTGTCATTTTGTTCAAGAAACAGAGAATTGGCAATGTAAAAACTTTACCTTGTTCCTGTCACGCCATCCAAGTCCAAATGACAATATGCCTGGTCTTTTTCTGGGACTGTCCTGTGAAGAACCCTGGTTACGGAAAGACCTGCAAGGCACAATGCCTTTGTGAGAAACCAATTCCAGAATGAAAGAAAATTACCACAACTTGTTGAAGGTTTAGCAGTTCAGATAGAGGCCTCTTTAGGGTCTTTAAGGGTTACAACGAAATTTGGTTTTAGATTTGCATGGACAGTTTGGTGAAGATATTAGAAGTCTTTCTTCGTCTTTTAGCTTATAGCAGAATCAACAAGATAATAAATAATTGCCAAAATATCTTTAATGTGCGAGGCCAAAGGGTAATACTGAGGCAGAGATGCTATATTGTAAAATTCTGTTTTTCCTTTAAATAGAAATTAAAAAATATTTTCATTAAAAAAAAAAGAAATTAAATATATAAATTTATTTTATCAGAGAGAATGTTGTTTAATACCTTGGAGAAACTAGTGCTTTTGCTTGGCCGGATTCATATTGCAGAGTAGCCTCCAACATTGATTCTGCCATAACTGCCCTCTTCTCCATCTGAGCAATGGAATCTGTAGCCTTCTCATACATTTCCTGCACATGTATTCCCTGTATTGAGATTTCATATACTTATGAACTTAAGAATGTACAACACAAAAAGTCATCTCAATTCATGAAACTATTCATTCAATTTGAGTGCAGAACCACAAAGTAAACAACATGCCACCTAAACTAGTATTTCCTTTCGACCATCAGCAGCCATGCATTTGTTACAGGTGTATAGTTTAAGGAGAAAGTGTTTTGCAGTTCATCTTGCACAGATTGCCCATTATCAAAGGGTCCTTGTAAGGCCAATGACAGACCCCACTGACCATGGGGTTGAGGTCATTGCAGCCTATCCTACACGAACTACAAAACACCAAACTCAGTTTAAAACAAATTAAGCAATTAGCATCCTAGAAAGAGAAAGACTGCATAAAGATTTTGATAGTCAAGGAATTAGGACCAAAAAGGAACATAAAAATAGAAAATCAAGCATCAAAGACATTTCAGTTTAGATTTTTGTTTAAAATAATCTCTGCAAATGTTAAGTCTTCACTTAAAAATATAAATTCCATGCTCATCCCTTCTCCACAATAGTGTTATTCTATGGGATGTAACAGCTTAGCCATAGGTATTAAGAAGCCTACAAATTTGTTGCTATACATCCACGTAAGGCTCATCTAACATCTACTTAAACTGAAAAGCAGCATGATGACATTGAGGAGATTCACCATTAGGGTATACTTATATGTCATTTCTTCTTTTCTGAATTCCAAAGTGAAAACAACAATTTAATTTCATCTAGGGCATCTGGACAAAGAAGAACCTGAAGCACTTTAAGTGCGTGTCTCTGGGTAGCTGCATCATGCTCTGCTCTTCTGCGAGCGTCTTCTGTTATCCTTTGATCTTGCTCTACCCGCATCAAGACCTGTGTAGCAGGTTTGAATTTCTAAAATATTAGCAGGAACTCTTTATGGAAGGAGAATTAAATTATAGTTCCAGGTGATGACATTAAGGTTGACAATAGGCAAAATCAAACCTTTAGCATTGCTGATTCTTGTTGTTTCTTATCAGAAAGTGCTTGTCGTAGCTCAGACACCTCTTGCTCCAACTGTTCGATCTGCAACATCATTAACTGACTTCAAATTTTAAATTCTAATTCACATGTATAGGAGTAGTAAATGTCTCAAGGGGAAAAGATTGAGGAAGTTATATATCATGTCTGAAACTTTGTTCTACTGTCCACCTTTTATATATCAT